TTTTTTCTCAAAATGAATTTGTTTTTCTTTTTCTTTTCATTTCAATAATGAAAAGATAATGAAAATCAAACAAAAATTAAACAAAAAAGAGGTAAAATTGCAGTGGCAGCCATGGGCCACCATAGATGACACTGAAATGTAGAATGATCGATTTCAGGCAAGCTTTCCCATCTGGAGACTCGGAGATTAACCTCTTGCTTTCACTACCTAATCGCCTGTTAGTCGATAAATAGTTACGGGCAGTTTAATAGAGCATCATTCATTAAAGCTTTATACAAATGTTTTAAAAACTGTAGGGGTAATCTGACAGATTCCAGACAAAGCCATCAACAAACCATTTTAAAACAATGCTAGCCTTTCCTCATAAATTTACATACGCTAGTCAAAATATCCATGAATATCGTATTGACTCAAGTGCACGTACATTAGATAATCAAATAGTGAACATTAGCGCAAATTAGTTCTAATAGCTCTTTATATAATAACTATAAACATTTATACTTTTTACGCTCTTATGCCATTGTTTTCTTCGGTGTCTATTTGATATTTATATCAGTATAAGTGCACACAAATCTTGTCTTGTGCTGTGGATACAAACAGAAGATGGAGTAATCAATCATCGTATTTCTCATTGATTTTCTAAATTTCGGGGGAGGAGGGAGGAGTTGTTTGATTGACACGCGACAATTAAATTCAATTAGTCAATTAGATTCAGTAATGTCAATCATTGAGTTCCTGTGAACGGCTGACTTACCGAAAAAACAAGTAGGAAAAAAATGAGGAATTCTATAGCCAAAAGTGAATCAAAGCAAAATCTTCTCGTTCGATTATCGTAAAACGTCTATTTAAAAAAAAATTATGAACGGCATAAAGTGCCAAAAAAGAATTCGTGCAATGGAAAGTTTGACAAATCTGCGCTAAAGCTTTTGTAATTTTACAAAAAAAAATTACAAGCGCTAGGCTGGAGTCCTAAAAACAACTCTTGCATGGACAAAATCTCCTAATGGATGGCCACTTATGCACCATTAAACTAGTTAAATAATAACATGCAAGCAGAATCATTTGTGTCACGACCTGTGTGTTTTGGACTTGATATAAGTCTTCGACACGAAGTCAATAGTCACAGTCAGCTCAGCTGATCTCTTTGTGCGCTGTTACTTCAAGGTACGTGTCTATTGTAAATGTAACGAAGGAACATGAACTCCTTTTAAACCCATGGAAACAAGTGAACAAAATTGGTATTTGCTATCAATCTGGTTCATAAACTTTTGTTTTTAGCACAAATATTTTGAAAATCTTTATCTAGCTTTTGGTTGAAAATTTCTTTGAGATTGACATTATTGCCTAGACGCATTTCAAAGTCAAATATTGACGATGCGTCAAAGCCATTACCCAGTCGAGCCACCTTAAAAAGTTTAGAGTGAAACTAGTATTTGCGCAAACTAGTGTATCTAAGCATTTCATCGTTTTCAAATAGTTACCTCTTACATCCTACCGAAATTAGCAATGCTTGGATCATCCACCCGAAACCTGTTTGCAAGAGAGATAGTTTCCAATAGTCGAACAAATGTGTATTTGAAGAGTATATGAACTGTCGCTTGACTGAAGCTTTAGGTTAAATATTTTTTTTTAGATCAATCGACTACACATTTCAAGTGATGAAACTTTTTGTAGTATCTTTGATGCTTCTAGTGGCTTTGTGCTTTGCGGAAGGTAAGTTCACAAAAACAAAACCCTCACTGATAAAACCGACCTAAAATTTTGTGTTTGATTAATTTTGATTAATTTATTGGTAAGTAGGTCGCTTGGTCGGTTGTTTGATTGCTTGCTTAACAGTATTGATTATTACTGATATAATTATTTGATCGACAACTGCAGAGGAAATAAAATGTGGAACAAAAGGCAAAGGAAACGAGAGAATAGTTGGTGGAAAAATAGCTAAGAAGAACTCATGGCCGTGGCAAATAACGATAAAACTCAAAGGGGGCTTTCATTACTGCGGTGGTAGTATCATCAAACCTAACTGGATAGTCACTGCTGCTCATTGTTTCGAAGAACATCCCAACCCAGAACATTACAAGGTCACGGCCGGTAAGCTCTGCGAATCAATATAGTACAAACAAATAGAGTGCTGATTACATGCACATGTATGTACATTCTACAAATATCGTCGCTTGATCAAAGATTATGAATACCTTAAAAATCGACTTAATTGCAAAGTTTGTAAATGGACATTGGTCTGCGAATTGAATACTATACAGTGTAAATTGATCAACTTTTCCAGTATGTAAATGTGACGTTTACTAAGGAACCAAAGTTCTCACATTGATTGATATATCGACTCAGAATTGTTGAAAGTGGGCTTTTAAAAATTCAAAGGATTTTATAGCAGGTATGGATACCTTCGAATCTCAACCATTTAGTTTGAAAGAATCCGAAGAGAGCAATTCCTTAGCAGACGTCACATTTGCACCAGACCCCTGATTCCAAAGAGAGCGCGTTTTTCCGTACTGGTGTGAAATTCAAAATAACGATAAAAATCTGGAATTCATCCAATTAAAAAATTTGTTGCGACCGCTAGAATTTGAAAAAATGGAGTTCAATTGCACTTAAGTATATAACATATCTCATTAATCATCAGGCGAGCATAATCTCAGAAAAGATGAAGGTGACGAGAAAGAATTTGACCTCGAGGAGATCATCAAGCATTCAGAATACAACGAATTAAGAGGTCATGAATTTGACTACGACGTTGCACTGCTGAAACTGAAAGGCAATATCACTTATGATGAGAAAATTCGACCCGTTTGCCTAAAAACTCAAAGTTTTCCCTCAGGGACGAATTGTTCTGTTACTGGATGGGGATATCTTAAAGAAAACTCAGGACGAAAACCCTCGAGACTTCGTCAGGTATGAACTAATTTTTTCAGTGCGATTTGCTCGTTGACCAATCAGAAGCGCGATTATTTAAACCGTCATCTAATAGCATCAAAACTTCGAAACTACAAATAATAGCACTATTGTATCACTAAAAACACCACAAGCTCACAAATACTACAACTGCAATGTCTTGAATAAACACAAAGTTTGTTCATTTATGTTTTTCAATCTGATTTCTTGTGTGTCAGCTAGAGTCACTTTTCAAGTACACATTCCTGAAATCATTCTTCTCTAAGACGGCTTTGCGATTAGTACAGTAAAATAATCGTTAATTATTTTTTTCCGTCCAGTATCCTAGTCATTCGAGCGCTGTGATTGGCTAGCGCGCGGTCCGGTTTTTCACGATCTACCCGGTCCGACGATATCCTGCAGCTAGGCTGCGAGCAAAGTTGCATAAAACGCAAATAAAAAAAATAAATATATCTATTTTGCTGCTATCAGTATGATGATATGATAGTAGATTAAGAATTTCTTTCACTGGATTCGAAGATGCTAGTATTCTTCTGAGGAAGGTTTGTTGAAGCAATTAGATGTATAATCAAATAATTGGTCCCAAGGTGTAGCCAGCGGACAGTTGGTAACGAATTTGAGAAAAAAAACTCACTTTAGAAGGTAACGTTTTCATATGTAACCATAGTTATGAAGTGTATTTAATGGGATAAAGTGGTCGACGGTTTCAAACGTTCAATAATATCTTGGCTAATACATGCAATTTTAAATAATGATATCATTGTTTTCCAGGCCATAGTTCCCCTTGTTTCTCAGAGAGACTGTCAGAGGGCCTACCGCGATGCCACCGAACGCATGCTCTGTGCTGGCTATCCACAAGGAGATATCGACTCATGCAAGTTTGATAGTGGTGGACCGCTGGTCTGTAAGAACAAGTCTGGTGCCTTTGAGCTAGTTGGAGTTGTGAGCTGGGGAATTGGTTGCGCTCTCCCTCGTAAATATGGCGTGTATGCAAATATGGATAAGCTCACGGAGTGGGTTGAAACCAAGATTAAAAATAACTAGTATATTTGCTCCAAATAAATGAATAAACGTTCAAAAATGAACGTTCAAAAATGTTTGTTGTTTATTCAAATCGATTTTGCGCATGAGATTTTTCAGGGATTTCTTTTTTTTTTGTTTCCTTTAATAAGTTCTTTAACTCATTGACGTCCGTGGATATTATATTTTGTTGATTTTCAAGCATTTTTCGATCCAAAACATGAAAAATTATTTTGACCTCCATATATGGACCCTTTGTTGAATTAAACTCCCTAGTTTTTGCAGACCATATTGCTCTTGAAATACTTTTGCTACATTGATCATATAGTAAAGTATGTTTTCTATAGAATTCAAAAATGATTATTCAGCAAAAGGTGTAAAATTCTCGTAAATGCGAACTGCAATTCGTTCGCCTCCATCGACTACATAATTTTCCTTTCTTGTCCGCTCTTGAAGTAGATCAACAAGGACCAATCAGGTGCCGTGTAATATGTGCGCGCGTTGTGATTGGTTGTCTAAAAATAGATTATCGGGACATCTGATGGTGGCGATATTATTGGGGAGATGGACACTTCTGGTTATGTACTTCTGACATAAATGTATTGCACTTTAATGAAAAAAATATTTAAAACATCAGCATCCTTCTGAAAAGGTTCAATCTGTAGTTAATAGTAATATACAACAGTAACAGAAAAATAACAGTGTTAATTAATCTTATAAAACTCATTAATATTCATAATGCAAAACACAATAGAAATCATAGACCATGAAGAGATTTGTATATTACATACAGATCGCCCGCTCATATTGTATATATTACAAGCAATATTACTCGTATAAATTTGACCAAAACTTCGAAGCTACAAAAAGCGACAATATTTGATTACTTAAAAATTCCATTGAGCTCACAAATGGTCACAAATACTATTCCAATCTCTTGAATAAACAAAAAGTTAATTTATGCTTTTCATCCTTCTACTTTCTTGTGTGTCAGCTAGGGTTACTAATTCACATTCCTGAAATCACTTTTTTCGAAGACGCCTTTTAGGTTGGAACTGTAAAAATAGCTGAGTATTTTGTTGCAAACAGTATGATGATATGATAGTGTCAGTCTTAAGGCTGTCTTTCGCTGGATTAGAATTAGAAGATGCTTGTGTTCTTCGCAAGACGTTGGAGGAAAGTTTTTGTTTAATTGGCTAGCTTTCCCATAAGGAGTCTCGGAGAGTGACATATTGCGTTCATTTCGTAATTGCCTGTTAGATTGCCCCGGTCGAGAGATGGTTACGGGTAGTTTAATCGCGCATCATTCATTATGTTTTTAAACTGTAGGGTCAATCTGACAGATTCCAGACAAAGGCATCAACAATAAACCACGCGAGATGTTGGGAGAACACGAAAAGGCTTAAAAAATCTCGAGCCGGAGGCAAACAAATGTCAAAGGAAAGGAGAGAATAGTTGGTGGAAAAATAGCTAAGAAGAATTCATGGCCTTGGCAAATAACGATAAAACGCATTGCAGGTCATATGCTTCGGCCTATAACATATACACATCCGCTCTTCGAAGTTTATCATTAAAGTATGTTCTTATTTTCTTTGTAGTCTTCATAAGTTAAGACTCCAGTTATGTTACAGATAAGATCGGCTTCGTCTTTTTTAATTGTTCATTAAACTGAATACAAATTTATATATGATCACCGTGTGTGTCTTATGAATTCACCATAATGAAGTCATAGTTTGTCTTATGTTTAATAAACATGGAAAAAAAGACAAAGTACGTATTTTAAAGAGCTCAAGTAAGTAATCGTTAGTTGTTATGTCGCGTATTATAGTTTTTGCTGAGCTATTTCTTTTACAATAAAATGGGAGGAATGGTGAAAATGCTGAGGAACTGACTTTGCACTGTTTATTTTATACTAATAGTAAACAAAAATGGGGGAACTAGTTTCGTATTGTGTTGTTTATTCAACTAATTGAATGGAAAGGTGGGAGGGAGAGCGAGTGGACCGAGAAAATTTTCTAAACATTTTGAGGAACTTGTGAAGAGGAAATTAATGCGCTGAAAAATAAGGCTTGAAATTCAGTACTTTTGATTTAAATACATGATGCTCTTTTCAAAGAAATGATTCGATTTTTACCATTGCCTCTGTTTCACAACAGTGTAATATCTGCTCCAGTTCATTTGTCCTCCTATGAATTGCTTTAATTATATATCATAGTGAGATAATGGTTATGATGTTTACTTCACAACCAGTTTATTTTATCTATTTTCATTGTCTGATGTTTTGTGTTTGTCTGTTTACTTCTGTAAGTAATATTGTTTTAGTATTTCTCAATAAATGAGGTCCATTAGCTAAGTTATTACTATTCCGACTAATATTGTCGTGTGCTGTGGACACAAACAAAAGATGGATTCATCAATCATTGATTGTATTTTGCTTCTAGATTTTCTAAAGTTCGGTAGAGGAGGGAGAAGGGAGGAGTTGTTTGATTGACAAGCGACAATTGGATGCAATTAGTCAACTAGATTCAGTAACGTGGGATCAATCATTGAGTTTCTGTGAACGGTTGATTCGATTATCATAAAACTTCTAATCTGCGAATGGGATTTAATGTATACCAAAAATGTCTATCAATTCATAATTTCAATACCCTTTTCTATAATTCAAATTTGAAAAATTAAACCATCACGACAAGAAGATGTCTGTGTTTCACACATCAGAGCACAATCATTACCCAATCAATGAACCATTAAATTCATGGTTACATTAAATGATCGATAGCATTATACCATTGTGATATATGTCATGACCTGTTCTCTTCGACTTGATATAAGTCTTTGATACGAAAGCCATGTTCAGTCAGTTCAGCTGAACTCTTCGTGTACTACAACTGCAAGGTAAGTAACAGTCAATCACTACGCGGTCTTTTCGCCTTATATTGTAAATTTAATATTTTATTATAATGAAGTCAAACAATCTGTGAAATGGATATCAAAAGCTTTAGTACACCCTTACTGCATTGTTTTTGTGGTGCCTGTTGTAAACGCTTTCACAAAATCATTTTAAAACTCAAGGAAACAAGTGAACACAACTTGAAATTTACGATTAATATATCTGGTTCACAAAAATTTTGTTTTTTACGCACTTAAAAATAAAATTTTGAAAATTATCAACCAGCGTTTATCAATGTTGATTTTAATGCGAAAGAAAACTTTCATCTTTATCTAGTTTTGGTTAGAAAATTTCTTGATTCTCAATCTGGGTGATTGATTTGTGACCAGGTTGTAAGCCAGTTGGTTGTAAGGTTGTAAGCCAGTTAAGCCAGAGCCTACTCCACTGGGTCGAGTTTTGCTGTGCAAATTCCTCCCGTCGGGGGGTTATGTTTACAACATAAGCTTGTCAGCTTTGCGCTGATTGACTAGTCGCATTTTCTAAAATCACACAGATGTTTATTCATTCTTACTTATGTTAATGTGCTAACCATGATCAGAATCGCTTTTCGAGAGATTGTAAAGCCCATACAACACGGACGTCACAAGTCGCTTTGTTCTAATAGCCAATCGTCTTATGGTTGGTACATGAATAACAAAGGATTACGTCACATTGAGTATCGATATTGCCAAGACGCATTTCACAATCTAACATTGAGGGTGCGTCAAAGCCATTACCCAGTCGAGCCACCAAGTAGTTTTTCGCATTTAAGTGTACACGAGAATTTTGATCGTTTCGAAATCGTTTTCTCTTACAAGCTACCGAAATTAGTAATGGGCGGACCATCCGCCCTAAACCTGTTTGCATTTTTATTTTTTTTTTTTTTTTTGAACTGTTTAGTGACTGATACTGGCTTTAATTGAAACATTTTTATCAGATCAATCGACTACACATTTCAAGTGATGAAGTTGTTTGTAGTATCTTTGATGCTTCTAGCGACTTTGTGCATCGCCCAAGGTAAGTTGACAAAATAACTTCACTGATAAAATTTACCATGAATTTAGTGCTTCATTAATTTTGATTAATCGTTTGGTTAGTAGGACGGAGACAGAAGTCGGTCGGTCGGTCGGTTGGTGGGTTGTTCGGTCAATCGGTTGTTTGATTTCTTGGTTAAAATAGTATTGATTATTACTGATATTATTATTTGATCGACATCAGAGGAAATCCAGTGTGGAACAAAAGGCGTAGGAAACCAAAGAATCGTTGGTGGGAATATAGCTAGAAAGAACTCATGGCCGTGGCAAATAACGATAAAACGCAAAAGGGGCTTTCATTTCTGCGGTGGCAGTATCATCAAGCCTAACTGGATAGTCACTGCTGCTCATTGTATTCAAGCCAATCCCAGGGCTGCGGATTACATAGTCACTGCCGGTAAGCTCTGCGAATCAATATAGTACAAACCATGTGCAAGCTCTACATTAGCATTCTTAGCTGTGTAAATTTAGCAATCCTTGGAAAGATGTACTTTTAAAATCAGTGATTATAAATATTAAAAGCTGGTAAGTTACGTTTAAAGTGCACCTCTAGGTTTAGCTAAACCCTGAAAAATGACATTTTTTTTTCTAAAATTAGGAAGGTTTCTTAGAACTCTGGCGAAAAAATGACACGATTGATTTTTCACAAATTTGTAAACATGCAATAAAAGGTACTTCGAGCTTCCTGTGGTAAGAATAAGCAATTCTATAGATCACGTGACTTATGACGTCAAACCAGTATCAGTAACTGCGAAATATTTCTTAAAATATTGCATAAGCAATATGGCTCTCACTGAATAGTTTGTTTTATTAAAATAAGTAACATATCTCTATAATCATCAGGCGAGCATAACCTCAGAAGAAATGAAAGCGACGAGAAAGAATTTGAACTCGAGAAGATCATCAAGCATGAAGAATACAACGAAACAAGTGGTCATAGATATGACTACGACGTTGCACTGCTGAAACTGAAAGGCAATATCACTTATGATGACAAGATACGACCCGTTTGCCTTAAAAATCAAAGTTTTCCCACAGGGACGAATTGTACTGTTACTGGATGGGGACGTCTTAATGAAAGCTCAAGTCGAATCCCCTCAAGACTTCGTCAGGTATGAGCTAATGCAATTCCAACCGTCTAAAAGTCAGCGGTTTTTTCAATGCGAATCGAAAAGCCTATAAATATTTAGAGAATGCATATTGCTCGTTGACCAATCAGAAGCGAGATTATTGAAACCTTCATCTAAGACCATTTTTACGTGCAAATTTGATCATAACTTCGAAGCTATAAATAATCACATTATTTATCAGTAAAAAAAAACCAGCAAACTCACAAATACTACAGTTGTTATGTCTTGAATAAACACAAATTTTGTTTATTTATCAGTTTTTCATCCTGTTTACTTGTGTGTCAGGTAGAGTCAATTTTCAAGTAGACATTCCTTAAATCATTCTTTTTGAAGACGTCTTTGCGACTCGCACTGCAAAATAATCGTTAAGGATTTTGTTACAAGCAGTGTGATGATATGATAGTATCCGGCTTAAATATGTCTTTCGCTGCTGGATTAGAAGATGCTAGTGTTCTTCGCAAGAGATTGGAGGAATGTTTGTCGAGGAAATTCGATGTATAATCAAATAATTGGTCCCAAGGTGTAGACAGTAGTGGTAGAAGTTTGAGAAAAACTCACGAAATGTTTCCATATGTAACCATAGTTCTGAAGTATATTAAGAGGGATAAAGTGGTGGACGCTTTAAAGTGCGCAATATTATGGCAATTACTTGTACTATTTTAATTAATGTAAGCATTATTTTCCAGGCCGTAGTTCCCCTTGTTTCTCACCGAGACTGTCAGAGGGCCTACCACGGTGTAACCGAACGCATGCTCTGTGCTGGCTATCCACAAGGAGGTGTCGACGCATGCTTTAATGATAGCGGTGGACCGCTGGTCTGTAAGAACAGGTCTGGTGCCTTTGAGCTAGTTGGAGTTGTGAGCTGGGGAATCGGTTGCGCTCGCCGTCGTAAATATGGCGTGTATGCAAATATGGATAAACTCACGGAGTGGGTCGAAACCAATGTTGAAAATAACTAGTACACTTGCTCCAAATAAATGAATGAGCTTTCGAAGATTTGTGTTGTTTATTCAAAGGGATTTTGCGCACTTGTTACTTCATAAGGTCACTTTACGTTCGATTTAGGATCCTTTTCAGATTAAACATGCGTTTTTTCAGGGATTTGTTTTCTTTTCTATTAGTTTCCTTTGATAAGTTCTTTAATTAGTCTGTTGACGATATTGAGCAATGGTATATGCAGCTTCATCAACAGCAAAATGCGAAACTAGGCAAATTGGTTTGCGACGAACAGGAATAATTTCGTCACATGTTTAAAGGGGAATTCATTGGTTGTCGGCTTTCGTCATATGACGTTAACACTTAGGGGAATATAAAAATCCAAAAAAATGTACAAAAAAACTAGTGCACTTCATGCAAATAAATGAATGAATCATCGAAAATGCATGTTGTTCATTACAGAAAATGCAGCGCGTATAGTTTTGTTGTTTTTTTCTACTGAGACCTTTGCATTCGGGACGACATTTGCCTGCCGATCGCCTATCACATTACGTACTCGGAAAACAATCGTATCATAGAACAGCAGTAACTGCCCGGGATTTACTGTAGTTTTTTAGTAATTCTTTGGTATTCGAGGCCTTTTGTTATTCCAAAACATTCATCTGTGTGTTAGGAACCGTGGATTCAATATAACTTCTTTGCTCTTTGGTTCTTTTATTGTGATCTCAGTTCTAACTTCTTCTAACTTCTTTCACAAATCTGTTCGGCTTATATGTGCTACAATCAGACAGTGTTTGGGTTTTACCTGGGGTATTAAAATTTACCCCACACCAATTTGCAGCCAATCCTTTCCTTTTCCTGGGATTAGAACTTTCTGGGAATGGTTGGTTTTGTCTGGTTTTKTGGCATCCCGTGAGGGGTGTGCCCCTGGCTGATGGTACCACATATAGCTCTCCAATATAAATTATMTCTACAAATACTTTCTTAAAGCATCTATTTTACCATTATTMGTGATTYATACTATTTGCCAGGCTGGGCATGGTTGGGCGCGTGAACTACGGCGACTCCCGATCCTGGCCGATCTTCGTTCCAAGCGCGACCACCCATACCTAGCCTTGGCCTTCCCTAATCCACTTGTAACGTTTACTTTGCTATTACCTAGAAGTCCTACAAAATGTCAGAATAACGTCTCGTAACTAATCCACTTGTAATGTTTAAAGTTAAGCTAAATATTAAATTTCCTATATTTTAAATGTCATCTTAAATTTCAGCATAGCGCCTCGTAACATGTGTAAGAGCATGTATTAGGACATTGGTTTAGGTCATAAAGGTTGGTGTATCGAACCAAATGGTTCATATTCCTTGGCGAGATATAAACCAATACTTCGTAGCTGACTACGTGGCTGTCTGATTCTGAGTTGCATAACCTTATATTTTCTAATTTGATGAAGGATTCCGTCTCTTCTGGTTAAAGAAAACAATGCTATTCAAGGATGAGTATTCCTAGATGAAGATTGAAGCGATCGATGCATGATTTTATAGAGCGGGGCCTTCTTGTTTGCGAAGATCGCTCGCCWCAYGGCGCCSAGCTGTCTGATTTTKATACTGTAGTATACTTGACCTTTAAATTACTACAATATTCTTACTTTGTTTCACGCGAAAGACTATCAGAGTGAGCGATTTGATCGCCGCGCGATGTATACCGTGTCTACGCTTTTAAAGATTTGTCAAAAATTATTGTATATCTAGTTCCTTCAAAAGCTGCTGAATATTACATGAAAAGTAATCGTGATTTATCAGTATAGATGAACTGCGTGCCTTTGGTAGAATTCTTTACATCTAAACCAGACCCTCTTAGAGCGTCAACTCGGTCGAACTATTTTTGAAAATTGAGAAAGACAGTATATTACATGGTTGGTCAAACACAAGAAAAGATTTAAATGAGCTCATCTTGAAAAAGTACTGTATTAGCCAGCACTTTTCAACTAGGGCACGAGTACACCCTGCTGTCAGGGTCTAGTTTCAAGTTATTTTGCGCAATTATTAACTCGTTGATGATGGTTTGATTTCTTTTCGATATATATATATATATAATATTTAAGAAATATAAAACGGCGCGCGTGTCTCTGTCCTCTCATATAAAGACAGTGCCGGAGTTCGAAAAACACGAGAGAAGCAAGCTTAGGAACACGAGCGTAGCGAGTGTTTCTCTTGCTTCTCTCGTGTTTTTCAACTCCCACCGTGTTTATATCAGAGGACAGAGACACAAGCGGCCGTTTTATATTTCTTTTATAAAATTTTTCAAGAAAAAAGAACATTTTGCCGTCGGAAAAAAGCCGGGTAAGCAGTGTCTCTGTCCTCTGATATAAACACGGTCGTCAGCCAATCAGAGCGCGCGTTATATATCAAAAATGTTATAATAGCTGATATAGATCTATTTTAGCATGAGCGAAAGTCCCGAAGCATCGAGAATCTGATTTCAGCGACCTCTTGGTCAAATTCTTCATACTTTGACAGATGACACCTTGAGATAGAGCTTTTCCAAAAAGCATATTAAAATATTCCAGGGAATTTTTATTTTTGAGAAATTCGCCCAGTATATATAATATTGCCGCCGAAACATAATTATCGTGCCTCGTAATCAGTCTCTCGACCAAACTTGTCGAAAACAAAGCGATGCAATGTCCTTAAAAACTATTTTTAACTTTAATACGAACTAAGAGCCGTTGAATCGCAACGAACGACCTTACACGGAAATGTAAAAAAAAATATTTCTGTCTGTAAAACGTTTTGAATTTCGCAAAAATCATAGTTTTAATGCATTTTTTTTCATTTCCACCAAATCACAACCATTTGGCCGAATGAACCATGCTGTACTTGTTAAATGTCAACTCTAAAGAATAATGACACCTGACACTTTATACTACCTTGTCGGATTTTTCAAAGTATTTTTAAAAGATTCAGTAGGAAGTCAATCACTAAGGCCCTCTCTACATGAGATGGGGCTCCCCTAGGTTTAGAACTCTTTTGTTGTCAATCTTCCGGCGAAAAGAAAACAAAGGAGTTAGCCCTAGCACGTAGGGCCACCCTATCTCATGTAAACAGGTCCTAAATTATATGTCAAATATTTGTTTGTTGGTTGGTTTTGGCATATCATTGATCTCGTTTCATCAAACAATAAGTTATTTTATTACCAAGCTTGGTAATAAAATAACTTATTGGTTGATGAAACAAGATCAATGATAGGTCCTAAATTGTTCAGGCTATAGATTTGTAAATTTGAATTAAGTACACGTATATCAGATAATCCAATAGTACAAATTATTGCAAATTAGTTGTAAAAACTCTTTATATCAACTTTTCTACTTTTTACGCTTTAAGCCATTGTTTTTTTCGGAGTCTATTTGATATTTATATCGGTATTAAAGCACATATACTTCTTCATTGTGTGTTATGATATACATAATTATATGCATAGTTATAATGACGTAATCCTGTAAACCAGTCATGCRAATCAGTCAATAAACATGGCGCTCGACCACBTCAACATGGTGTCAGAACGTTGAGGATTTTCTCGCCGAAATCATCACGTTTTTCCAGAAATATTCAAGTCAATCAATTAGTAGTTTGCCATGGATAAGCTGCGAGGCTTACCGATGCCGTCCATGGACTGGACAGCCGGAAATCTGCCAGAAACGTTTCGTAAATTCAAGCGAAACTGCGAAAGCGTGTTCGCCGGACCGTTGAATGACCAACAAGAAGAGGTCAAAGTCCACTACCTCAAAATATTCCTTGGTGATCAAGGACAGGACATCATTGAAGGATTCAACTTTTCAACAGACGAAAGCAAGAAGCTAGAAAACTACTGGTCAAAACTTCAATCATACGTCAAACCGAAGTCAAACTTTCGAGTAGCCAGAGCTCAACTTCGAGAACTTAAACAAATGCCAGATGAAACAGTGGACAGTTTCATGACCAGAGCCAGAATACTCGTCGACGATTGCGAGTATAAAGACAAGGAAGAACAACTCATCGATGCACTCATCTTTGGAGTTCTATCAAATGATCTTCGAAGGAAATTACTTACCAAAGATAGCACTCTTAAACTCATCGACGCCATGAAGATCGCACGTGCTGAGGAAGCTACACAAAAACGCACTTCAAGAACGCACTTCAAGAAACCAAAACCATTAATTCAATGAAGTCGACTCCCAAAGCTCAACATTACTCTCAGAAATCGTCATCTACACGTCCTAAACACAAACAAGGATGTCTAAACTCTCACTCGAAGGAGACCACGTGTCCCGCCAGTAAAGACAACTGCAATTTCTGTGGAAAGAAGGGACACTGGGAAAAAGTCTGCATTACTAAGCAATACCGCCAAAAAGGAACTAGACGTCCACAAGGTACTAGAAAGAAAATTAATTCACTTGATGTTGATGAATCAGCTGAATACTGCACTCTAGATGATCAATCCATTACATTTGACACACTTCACTACTCTAGTCTTAAAAATGAAGAGTTATTTGCCACTGTCAAAATTAAAGGAGAAAAGGGTCAATACAACTTACGCTGCAAAGTTGACACCGGTGCACCTACCAGTGTAATATCCAAGAGAATCTATTGCCAACTCTACCCTAATGAATTTGATGAAAATGGAGTTCTTAAACAAGATACTAAGATTGTTCCTGCCAAAGTCAAGGTGAAATCCTATGGTGGATCAGAACTCAGACATCTAGGACACTTTACTACTATGATAAGCCATGGGCACGAGGCGACTCAAGCCCAATTTCTTGTGACCGAGACTGATGAAACCCCATTACTCGGTCTGAGTAGTAAAGGCTGCACAGCTGACACCCGGTGAGGATTGAGGAGAATTGAGGAACGCTTGATTYGAGGACCGCTTGATTTGAGTAAAATAATTTTATTAATACATTCAGTGACGTCACCTATTCAGTTGAATAGGGTGAGGTAAAATATAATATATTCCGTGACGTAACCTATTGTTCGCCATATCAATAGGGTGCGTATTCATATGCCCTTGCATTCTCAGCTCTGCTATCATTTAAGCTTGATCAACACTTGTTACCGTATCG